ATAATTTATAAAAAATTTTCATTTATTTATTCTTTTCAATAAATTAATTTGTTTTTTCATTTTTATCGATTTTTGTATGCGATAGTACTCCTTTTGTTTACATTATAATGATACCCATTCTGTCTCCATCTAGATAAGTACTTCAAATTTGTTTAGAATATTTCTGTAAGTGTTATATGTTTCTTTAGTACTGTGTCAAGCATTGCAAGGAATAGTTGGTGTTTTTTGTATATCAAAAATTAAATGAAATTTAAATAAATTATTAAAGAATGTGTAGTATATAAGTAACTGTTTTTGAAATTACACTGAAGATGAGACACACCATGGTCTCGAAACGTCTGTAATCATAAAATAAAGTTGTGTTAAACAAATCTGAGTGCTGTTTTGTTCATATTAAACAATTAATATATATATATATATATATATATATATATATATATATATATATAGCGGAATCAACACGCAGTGATATAGCGGAATCAACACGCCCACATGACACATGTCAGTTGATTGACGCAAATCGATCATCATATCAAGCAAGCGATAGCGAGCGCATTGGATGAAAAAATACGATCGAAAAATATGATCTCGCGTTTTTAAAAACGATCTAAAAATATATCGCGTTTTTCATCGAACATTTTGTCGGGATCAATATTGATATTAGATTTTATGTAATATCAGTTACTTTATTAATTGAGATATAAATTGAGTCTACATCAAATTATTGCGATTTCATTTAAAGAATTAATTAATAAATAATATATGGCTCACTAGCGCCATAAATGGTGACTCCGAACGTGTAAGTGAAATCGTCAAACAAGAGACATACTCAACGTCCCAGTACCCAATATTGGTGACGTCAGACGGAGAAAGAAAAACACTTGTCAATTTCAAAAAATCAACATAGGTAAATTATACCAATTTAATTCAAAGATGTCGACTCCACCTTCGTTCAGCAATGATGAAACAGCGCTCAACAGATCTCTGATCGATTTGAATCACGAGGCGATCTTTAACACGAGCAGTCCTCGTGTTTCTGAACATGACAGTTATGCTGATCAATACAATATAGCAGCATTTAATAATCACCGTCTCACTCCATTCAATGGAGATTCTCCAGACTTATGGTTTTTAGTAATTGAATATGAGTTTCAGTCTGCTAAGATCAGGAGCGACGATACTAAATACACGGCAGTACATAAAGCCTTGGACTTTGAAACACTGCGCCTCATTCAGGATGTCCTCCGTAATCCTCCAATGACAGGCAAATACGAACACATTAAAACGACGATATTAAGCAGAACGTCTGAATCCAGAGATAAGCAGATTGTCAAGCTATTTAAAAATTTAACTCTAGGAGAGAAGAAACCATCACAGCTCCTACGAGAGATGATGGATTTGGCTAAGGAAGAGGTCAGTGAAGACATCATAATTAAATTGTGGTCAGAACGCCTGCCACACCACATTCAGCCACAATTGATAGTTTCTCGTCATCTTGGTCCGGAAGCCCTGGCTGAAGTAGCCGATATTTTGGTCGATCACTGTAGCCCCACATCACATGTGATGTCTTCAACACGCAAGTCTTCAGTGGAACAGAGACTGGATCACCACGAAACTCTTCTTATGTCATGCGTCAAGGAAGTCAAGGAACTAAGGGCAATGTTAAACACTGAAAGGCAGAAAAATGATCAGCAAGAATCACAACACAACCGGTCAAGACCAAGAAGTGGACAACATAATCAATCAAGATCAAGAAGTGGTTCTCGACATAGTTCCAGGACACCTTCTCGTGGATCAGTTTGTTACTATCACTACAGATACGGTGAGAAAGCCACAAAATGTGAAGAGCCCTGTCTGCTTAAATCTCTAAACGGGTCGGAAAATTTACTTCACCGTCATTAATTGGAGCTCGCCATGACGGTGAAATAAATTCTGTCTGCTCTGAGCTCCGCCTACATATTTCAGACAGAAAGACTGCAATCCAATTTTTTATAGATTCAGGATCAGTTTTATCCATTTTACCAGCCCATAAGTTCGCCAATGGTCATGCCAAGGAAGAGCTAGTTCTATTTGCAGCAAACTCTTGCAGAAGCATTTAATAATCACCGTCTCACTCCATTCAATGGAGATTCTCCAGACTTATGGTTTTAGTAATTGAATATGAGTTTCAGTCTGCTAAGATCAGGAGCGACGATACTAAATACACGGCAGTACTTAAAGCCTTGGACTTTGAAACACTGCGCCTCATTCAAGATGTCCTCCGTAATCCTCTAATGACAGGCATATACGAACACATTAAAACGACGATATTAAGCAGAATGTCTGAATCCATAGGTAAGCAGATTGACAAGCTATTAAAAAACTTAACTCTAGGAGAGAAGAAACCATCACAGCTCCTACGAGAGATGATGGATTTGGCTAAGGGAGAGGTCAGTGAAGACATCATAATTAAATTGTGGTCAGAACGCCTGCCACACCACATTCAGCCACAATTGATAGTTTCTCGTCATCTTGATCCGGAAGCCCTGGCTGAAGTAGCCGATATTTTGGTCGATCACTGTAGCCCCACATCACATGTGATGTCCTCAACACGCAAGTCTTCAGTGGAACAGAGACTGGATCACCACGAAACTCTTCTTATGTCATGCGTCAAGGAAGTCAAGGAACTAAGGGCAATGTTAAACACTGAAAGGCAGAAAAATGATCAGCAAGAATCACAACACAACCGGTCAAGACCAAGAAGTGGACAACATAATCAATCAAGATCAAGAAGTGGTTCTCGACATAGTTCCAGGACACCTTCTCGTGGATCAGTTTGTTACTATCACTACAGATACGGTGAGAAAGCCACAAAATGTGAAGAGCCCTGCCTGCTTAAATCTCTAAACGGGTCGGAAAATTTACTTCACCGTCATTAATTGGAGCTCGCCATGACGGTGAAATAAATTCTGTCTGCTCTGAGCTCCGCCTACATATTTCAGACAGAAAGACTGCAATCCAATTTCTTATAGATTCAGGATCAGTTTTATCCATTTTACCAGCCCATAGGTTCGCCAATGGTCATGCCAAGGAAGAGCTAGTTCTATTTGCAGCAAACTCTTGCAGAATATCCACATATGGCAAGAGAACTCTGGAGCTGGATTTATCACTACGCAGAAGCTTTAACTGGCAGTTTGTTGTTGCCGATGTAGCCACAGCCATAATAGGAGCCGATTTCTTAAGCAACTACAATCTATTAATAGACTTGAAGGGCAGAAGATTGATTGATTCGACCACAGGCCTTACCTCTGATGGAAAGGTACTCAAGGCACAGCAATTCAACATCTTCACTGTCAACCCGGCAGAGCCTTTCAAGGATTTACTGGCACAATACATTGAAATAACAAAGCCACAGGTAACCACCAATATTAAATTATGTGATTTTTCCCACAGGATAACCACAACAGGTCCACCATTAGCTACCAGATTCAGGAAAATCTTCGGAGAAAAGGCTGTTGCAGCCAGGTCCGAGATACAAGATCTCCTGAACAGGGGCATTTTGAGGCCTTCCAACAGTCCATGGGCAAGCCCTATTCACATAGTTCCCAAAAAGAATGGCACATTCAGAATGTGTGGAAACTATAGGAGGCTGAACGCAAACACGCTGCCTGACAGGTATCCTCCACCTTTAATACAAGATGTTTTCAATAATCTTCATCAGAAAGCAGTATTTTCTACAATAGACTTGGAAAAAGATTACCACCAAGTACACATGCATGAAGAGGATATTAAAAAGACTGCAATTATCACACCATGGGGACTCTTCGAGTATCAACGCATGCCATTTGGACTCAAAAACGCTGCCCAGACATTCCAGAGGTTTATCAATCACATATTCCAAGATTTCAATTTTGTTTTTATTTATATAGACGACATCCTGGTCATGTCGACTGATATGAATGAGCACCGTCGTCATCTTCAAATGGTTTTTGGAAGGCTACAGGAATATTCACTCACAATCAACTTAGAGAAATGCGCCTTTGGAAAAGATGAAGTTAACTTCCTCGGTTACAAACTGAGTGCTGCAGGATATTCTCCTTCACCAGACCGAGTAGAGAAAATTATTAATTATTCAAAACCTTCGACAGTTATAGAACTCAGAAGATTTTTGGGCATGGTAAACTATTATCGTAAATCAATACCCAAGGCAGCAAATATACAAGCACCACTTTATGAGTATTTGAAGTCCTCAGTTAAAAATGACAAGACTCAAATTGAATGGAATGACAATTCATTGTCAGCATTCAGCAAGCTGAAGGAAGCTTTAACAAATGCAACTCTTCTTCATTTTCCTTCAAGCATAGCAAATATTAATTTAATTACAGATGCATCTACAACAGCCATTGGAGCAACTCTGGAGCATGAAAAAAATGGCGCATGGCACCCTATAGGTTTCTTTTCCAGAAAGCTCACATCTACTGAACAGCGATATTCAACTTACGATCGCGAGCTACTAGCCATCTTTGCGGCTTTAAAGTATTTTGAATATCTTCTAGAAGGAAGGCACTTTGTAATCAAGACAGACCACAAGCCAATCACACATGCATTTCAACAGAAATTAGAGAAGGCTTCAGATCGTCAGCGACGGCAGCTAGAATACATATCACAGTTTTCCACTGATATTATATATGTGAAGGGTGATCAGAACGTTGTTGCTGATGCGTTGTCCAGGATCAATGCCATTCAAATGTCATCAAAGTTAACCGCAGAGGAAATTTCGCAAGAACAGAGCAAGGACGTTGAAATGCAAACTATATTGAACGGCAACACCTCTCTTAATCTTCAAAAATTGACATTAGGGGGCTATCCAGTTTATTGCAACAGGCAAGATAATTTTGTGAAGCCCTACCTTCCGCAAAGTCTTCGCAGAATTGCTTTTGACATTGTACATGGAAATGCACACCCAAGCATAAGGATTACTTCAAGGGAGTTGCGAAGAAGGTATGTGTGGCCAGGGATTAGTGAAGACGTCACCATGTGGGCACGTCAATGCATTCCTTGCCAAAAATCCAAAATACACAAACATAATCACCTCACTCCTATCCATATTCCTATTCCTGAAAACAGATTTTCGCATATTCACATCGACATAATTAAATTACCTAATATTAATGGATATCCTTATTGCCTAACAATCATCGACAGATTCACAAGGTGGCCAGAAGCTATTCCTCTAAAGGACATTTCTTCAGACACGATTGTTCAAGCCCTATTTTCAAACTGGATATCAAGATTTGGTACACCATGTGTGATAAAATCCGACCAAGGATGCCAGTTTGAATCAGCTATATTCAAATCATTAATGGATGCAATAGGTGCTAAGAAAATACGGACAACGGCATATCACCCTCAGTCCAATGGTCTGGTTGAACGCTGGCATAGAACTCTGAAAGCAGCTTTAATGTGCTCTCCTGAGCCCTGGATCAAAGTATTACCTGTAGTCTTACTAGGTTTACGTTCTTCATACAAAGAAGACCTTAAAGCATCTCCTGCTGAGATGGTTTATGGAACCACATTAAGACTACCAGGCGAGTTTTTCACATCTAAAGAACTGTCATCTGATCCACAATGCGTGCTATTAAACCTACTGCCACAGCTCATCATAATAAAGCCAATATGTTTGTACTCAAGGACATGAATATATGCACGCATGTATTTGTCAGGGCAGATAATATTCGAAAACCACTTGAGCCTCCATATAGTGGACCATATAAAATCATAGAAAGAATTTCAGACAAAGTGTACAAAATTTTTATGGATGGTATTAATAAGAGCATATCGGTTGACAGATTAAAGCCAGCATAAACAGTTAAAACAGATAACAGTCAACCAAGCACATCACAAGAATTCAAACCACATCAATTAGAGTTAACTGTGGTCTCTCCAAGAAAAACCAATTCGAAAAAAGTCTCCTTCAAATTATAATAATTAAATTTATTTATTTCTAATGGATACTTCTTTTTCTTTTGAAGGGGAGTGATATAGCGGAATCAACACGCAGTGATATAGCGGAATCAACACGCCCACATGACACATGTCAGTTGATTGACGCAAATCGATCATCATATCAAGCAAGCGATAAAAAAATACGATCGAAAAATATGATCTATTGATATGATAATTTTAATATGATGATTTTTAAAAACGATCTAAAAATATATCGCGTTTTTCATCGAACATTTTGTCGGGATCAATATTGATATTAGATTTTATGTAATATCAGTTACTTTATAAATTGAGATATAAATTGAGTCTACATCAAATTATTGCGATTTTATTTAAAGAATTAATTAATAAATAATATATGGCTCACTAGCGCCATATATATATATATATATATATATATATATATATATATATATATATATATATAGAGAGAGAGAGAGAGAGAGAGAGAGAAAAGGTTTTTCTTCAGGTGGTGAAATAACATGATAAAATTGTTCTCGGGCTTAATATATATATATATATATATATATATATATATATATATATATTGTATATACTAGCATACCCAGCCTCGCGTCGCGACGGCCCTAAAATCCACCTGATTTAAATTTGAATCCGTTTGACAACCAACATTTCAAACCTTTTGTTATAAAAATCATATCAATCCAAAAATAAAAAAAATCCGGATTGAAATTTGAATATGATGGATCAATACTATTGATCAAAGTGTTTTTTTTAAACTTAAATAATAAATAAAATGATTTAATTAAAGATTTGAATAAATGAGTACATTACAAAATTTATAATTAATAACCAAGTGACTTTTATGAATTTGTTATAACCAATTTGGTATTACGTCCTATTTACTTTGCTAACATTTTAACATGTTCTATGATGCTGTATTTAGGAATGTTTTC